GTGTATAGATCACCTCCTCACTTGATATCAGATCTGATTCTCCTGCCAACCATCCATCTGTGCTTCCACTCTTCAAATAGGGCCTTTCCCTTAACGTTTTAGGCGCACCTTTGCTTCGCGCGCGTGCATTCTCGGACCTCCCGCTTATGCGCGCATCTCGCGCGTTACCTTCTCGCGCCTGCTAGCGCCCGCCTAGCTCATACAGTCTCCCTCAAATCTTTATTTCGAGGAACTTCTCTCAGTAGTTGTCCTTTGGGTCGAGTTGTTGTCTCGTATCCTGGTCTTGAAGTAGAGCACCCATTTGTTTCAAGTGTTTCGCCTATAGTCGAGATTCCTCTTCTACAGCGCGGGAAACTTCGGAAGGACTTTCCGGATGGGTGCAAGTAACTTCCGGATGAGTGCGGGAAAGTTCCGGAGGAACTTCCAGAAATTACGATGAGGTTTCGTCCTGATACGGATATGTATAATGGCTACTCGGGACTTGTCCTGAGTAGAAGTAAACAGAGGAAAGGCTGCAAGGACAAAGTCCGAAGCAGAATAGGTCCGGAGGACCATCACCTCCACCTCTACTTTTGGTAGTCCTCCACTGATTCCTTTCTAGTTCAGACATCGTCCGGATTAGTCTTATCACTTGTTCCTGGACGTCTGCTGGAATTCCCATGCATCGGACATTGGACTCCGGACATTGCCCAATAGTCCTACCTACTTCAACACAGCATCTCCTCCTCCTCATCTTGCCCCATCACTTTCTCTGCCTCTTGACAATTTCATCTTTAGCAGGTTTTGAACCCATGCAAACAGATTTGGATTCTGTCACATTAACTTCTTGGCTAAGACCAGTCAGATGCACTCCTAATGAATCAAGTCAGAAGTGAATCCTTAATGTATATGTCAAGGTGCATTTTCATCAAATCAAAATGTTATCATAAGCAGGTTTCAAACCTGCACTGTCCAAGAGAAACAGATTTTGACTCTGATGATCACTTGGCAAATTCATCTTTAGCAAGTTTCAAACCTGCACAGACAGATTTAGATTCTGTTGTATCAACTGCTTGACTAAGACCAGTGTGATTCACTTTCACTGAACTCATTCAGAAGTGAACCCTCAAGGCACATTTATCTGTATTTTGTCAGTTCTTAAATCACATGGCTACTGTTGATTCTTGTATCCTGCTTTTATTGCAAAAGACATCAGACTTCTTCTGGAACTCTTGACCTCAAAACCTGTTTATCTAGCAATTGCTCTGGAAAAGTGCAGATGGCAGACCACCACAGTAGGCCCATAATGTTTGTAATGTTTTCGTATTCACGTCTGAGCCACAAGTGATAAGTAATAATGGAAGGATCACATATGATTGGGCCCAAGAGGGATGTTAGAAATTGATGTCTGCATCCAGTGTGATGAGGTGAAATATCATGGCTAGGATGAAGGTAATGATGTATGAATACAAGGGGTGGGCCTCCTCAGGCTCAGACATCAAATTCTATCTCATCCAACCAGGCACAAATATTTATACATGTAAAATATATATCTCTACTTCTTTTATCTTATCTACTAGTGATGATCTCAAGCTTGATTGATATTGCTATTGGTTTTATGCACAAATTAGGAATATTTTTTGCTACAGAATTACCAGAGGCAAATGCAAGTATTCTTGATACAAACTCAGAATAATAAGTACAAAAACAATTTAATTCTCTCCAAAGGTCTTGACTTGGTTGAGAAATAGGCCAGATTACACATCTATCAAGACAAAGATTCAAGCTGTATTTGAGACCTTTCATCATCTTATTGCTCTCCTCTCACTTTTTGAAAGTGCTGTATCATATTCTGTATTCAATTCATCTATTTAGCTGAGGGAAAACATTACAAGTAATAGGTAATGGTAGACTTGCCTTGCAGATTCACTTCTTAATGGTCTCTTCAAAGATGCATCTAACTAGTGTTAGTCAAACAGTTGCTGCAACAGAATTCAAATCTGTTTCAAACTCATGTGTGTGGGTTCAAAATCCGCTAAAGATGAAATTCCCAGTGATTATCAGAGTCAAAATCTGTTTCTCTTGGACCATGCAGGTTTGAAACCTGCCAATGATAAAATAATTTTTTTTTGTTTTTAATGAAACTACACCTTGACATATGCTCATAGTCGGTTTGCTTATAAGCTCATCAGAGTTGTGTTTAGCCAAGTGGTCATCCTGACATAATAGACATCTGTTTCTGTTGGAGTGCAACAGATTTAAAACCTGTTGAATGTCACATTTTTTCATAAGAACATGCCTTGAATATTTACTCATAGATAGTATCTCAGACACTGATCCTCATTAGCCTTAGTCAAGCCATTGTGATGCTTGGACCCACTCTGGGCAGGAACAAGTGTCTTTTGATACTTGTGTCAGGACCTATAGGAAGTTATGAGGTTTACATTATTTCCACTCTCTCTAGCAACAAGTCCATCTCAGCTGATACTCATCCAGCACTCATCCACACTTGGATCTGCTTTTCTGTACTATCTGTCCATGTTCTTTCCATGTCCACCTATCTCTGCTGGTACATGTTCATTTTCTCTCTTGGTTTTACTAATGATAGCAAGGCTTATTACATGTATCCACATATTTCATTCTGCATGTGTTCTCATTACATTATATTCTGCTTCGGACTTTGTCCTTGCAGCCTTTCCTCTGTTTGCTTCTACTCAGGATAAGTTCTGAGTAGCCATTACACATCTTCATATCAGAACAAAACCCCATGGTAAGGGGCGCAGCACATGAGCTGAAGCCAAGCCCTTTTGAATCAGTCCTACCCTTTGTGCATGGTCTTAACAAAGACAGACCAAGGTGTTCACTAACCTGTGAATAAAGATAAGTCACTTTCAAGTCCATAAATCTTTAAAAAAACATCCTTCACCATCAATATTAAGCATGTCTGAAAATGCTGTTGAGCTCGGGCCACATAACTTCACCCATTGTGCAACCTCCCAGTCCATTTGAGAGCAGAATGGAGCATAAAAATTGTCTGCATTATTAATACTGGAAGCATATGTAGCATTCACATTTTGGATTTCAGCTTGGGCAATAGGCTGTCCTGCTTGACGATCAGGATATGACTTGAAGACTCTATTGTGATCTGTGATTTGTCATTAAATCTGGTGGCACATTTCATGGTTGACACTGCCATAATCATCCATAGGATCATCTACTTCCACCTCTGCCCATTCCTCATCCTCCTGCACTGGCAGCTCCCATTCATTCTCCTCCCTACCATCCTTCTCGTCACTGCTATTTCCATCATGCTTATCATGTGGCCAAAAGTGTTCTTCATCGCTGAATGATTGCAGGACTTCATCTTCAAAGTCCTGCATTTCTTCCTCATACATATGACATTGTCTTACTAGAATGTGATTGGCAATAAATTCACCAGTTCTCACTGTCCTCCACGGTCAACAGCTCAGATAAATACCAATGGTTGATAATGTGGTCGTTTGTAGAAGGAGGCGTAAATAACAAGGTCATTCTAAACAAACTTCTAATGACTTTGGATGGGTTGAGACAGTAACCATTAACTGGCTTGATGCAGTGCTTAGGTACTTGAAGACTACTAATCTGTTAACTGGCTTGATGCAGTACTTAGGATTTCTTAAGATGAAGGTTGTAAATCGTGTAGCCAATTTGATAACTGGCGTAATGCAGTACTAGGATGCTACTAGAAGATGATTGCAAAGATATGCAATATGAAGGTGAAATTATGGGTCACAATAGTACACAATGAGTCAGAGTGATATCTTGTAAACACTCCCTATTCTCAAGATTTAGAGAAGATCAAACTAAGCCTCTAATACAATTGAATCAACCGAAATATGTGGCTTCAAAACTAACTTCTCTGCTGCTCAGACACTCATGATGAGTATGATGTGGAATCAGAACAGAGTACACCCTCTTGATATAGTCTTAAAGCAGCCAAGCTCTTAATATTGTTGTATAAAGTGCTAGTCTTATTTGTTGTCCTTGTAATTGTTTAAAAATATGTAAATACTCACTCAGATGTTCACACAAATATGAGGTGAGAAATTCAGGGACATACTCAAACCCTCCTCCCTCTCTCTTAAAGGGGGATTGTCTGTCCTCTCAAAGGAAGATTTATTTCAAAAGGGAGATTGTCATTATTCAGAGGGGAAATAGAATCCCCTATATACTATTCTAAATGTGGCTGTGTATTTATCTAAATAATGAAATGTGACTTGTACTGGCTCATACTGGCTCATACTGAGTCATATGAAGATGACTCATAGTGACTCAGACAGCAAACTCATAATGACTCAAACTGAGTCATAGTAGAGATGTCCTATGATAACTTGTTCACTTCTCAAATATTCTCATCTATCAACTTTCTCCTTTCAAGTTCCTGACTAATTCATTTCATCTGACTAAACCATTGATCACCTATGAACCATTGATATGTTGAAGTGTTATATTGAATATGTTTCAGAACATGCAAAAAACATGTGAAATGTGTGAAAAAAATGCTGAGTAATGTATTATGGTATGTTTGGACCTTACCTTTGAATAGGATAAGTGCCAATGTGAACTTATTATGTAGTATTATGGGTTTGTTAAGTCTGAAACTACTCAAATCAATTCTTAATGTGTTGTAGAATGTTCTTGGAAATTTTATAGGGTAAAGTGAGGAGTGATAAGGCTCAAAAGTAGGTATGACCATGCACAAAACAAGTTTGATGTGTGTCAACGTGGTTTTCAATGTATGTGCCCCTAGACATGATCAATAACCAATAACTAAGTGAAAAATGCACCAGCAAAGTCAAACAGACAAGGACAGGACATGATATGGAAGACTGGAAAGGTGAAATAGGCCTCGGAAGTGGACAGACAGCCTTTGGATGACTCAGACAAGTGCATGGAACTTTCACAAGGTCGGAAGAATGTCAAGGAATGTAATGTGTGAATTTGGCAGGATATGTGCCCAATGCTGACTTGAGTGTTACAGTACACCGGCAAGTTTGAAGTACAAGATCAGTCACTTTGCACTTGCAGATAAGTTGCCAAAGTTATTCAGGGAAGCTAACATCCTATATTGGGCAAAGGCTTTGCTAGGTCTGGTCTACAACTTTATTGACCATGCAGTGGCAAGTGCGTCTGAGTTCATATTTCCTGTGTCCACTTTGTTGAAGCTGGTCTGGCACTATCTTACTATCAAGATAGTAGCAAGCCTACATCAAAGGCTGCATTAGCACATGCAGGTTTTCTCCTTGAAGAAGTTATCAATGGTGGAGATGAGGGTTTTATCACATATATTCATAATATGGATCCCAATCCATTGCTCAATCCAGATGAATTTGGGTATGACTTTGTATTTTTCTTGCATTCACACAACATGTGCAATATGTGAAGACGGGTGGGCTGGTTGCTATCTCTGATCATCAAGATATATACTTTACATTGATGTGTTATGCACTGGTAATTCTGACATCGGAATGAAACAGGCAATACCAAGCTGTTGACCGACTCACAGATTATGACACACCCTTCGGTTAGTGACAGCAAAGACATTTTTTGGGGGGGTAATATCGAGAAGGTGGTCAGTGAATTTGAGGCTCACCATGTTTGCAACCTTTGAACAATACTGGTTTTTATTGGACATCTGTTTTTTTTGGATAGTGTTACAATGTATTATGGCCTTTGGTTTGAATCACTATGCACTCAACTTAGATTCAAATACGCAAGTAGGTTTGCACTGATTAACATCTGCAAACCAGAATGATCTGTACAGAGCTGTGCAGAGCTGTATAGTGCACAAGCTCTACAGCTTGGTTCCTACTAGCCAATTTGTCACAGTACAGTTGCAGACAAACAAACTCGACAATTTCATTCCTGACCCCAGAACATTTTTTGGCACAAATCTGACAGCAGGAATGGCTTCAGGGAGTGAAAATGCATCTGAAACTGGTCTTGACATAATTTTCCCACGTGTTTTTGGGTTGGCCAAATTTTTGGCTATTTTCAACAGCATCTATTTACCACTACGCACTGCCCAGTACCGCCTCAATCGACATCATGGCATGCTGTGAGACTTGCCTATGTTGCCTTTGCTTCTGAACTGCCCACTCTGCAGCCTTTCCTGTGAGACCCAACTGATAAGCACTCATAAAGCGCCATGAATGATTGATAAACCGCCGGATTACATCAGCTGGACATGCATCAAGTTGCTCTTGCGCACAATGTTTCGCATCATCCAAAGTCTTCTTTGGCACTTCGCGATAGCGGTATTTGCACCAGCTCCAATACTAACATGAAATTGTGTCAGTGTAAGCAGAGACTGACATAAACAGCTTGAACTAGCCTACCATCTCAATTGGATTGAGCTCGCAGTGAAACTTTGGGAGAAAAATGCACTCATGTCCAGCTTTCTTGATGAGTGTTTTGAGCATTGATAATTGATTTGCAAAGTCTTCTTGCTGACTGAGAAGACGAGCCATACAGCAATTGGTGCTTTCCCATGAGCAGACAGGTGCGCACTTCGCTCGCATTTTTTGGACATCAAATCCCCATTCTTCGAGAACTTGTTGCAGGCCTTTAGGACGGCCATCTGGTAATGTCATTTTTTGAGGTTTCCCACGATGCTCAGCAACTGGGTTAGACTGTGGAATGATTGTATCATGTTGATGTCGCTGCTTGCCCCCATTAGATTTATTCATGTTGAATGCATGTAACACATCTTCGGAAAGAGATGCATGAGCTGAGGATTGATCGAAAATGAAGAGCGCTACACAGCCTGGATGCGCAGCCTCAAAGATACAGATCGCATCCTTCATTTGTGCAAGCAACTGTGCAGTGTCCCACCAATCATCCAAACTGTTCGCACCAGGGTAAATGATTTTTCGTGCTTCTTCAATGACTTCACCCTGTTCGTTATGCAGTGTGAGTCGACCATTGATCGCATCAATAAACCCAGACACATGAATGATCCTTCCTTTCTCCTTTCATTGAAGAATCTGTTGACCAGACAGCAAACTGGTTTTCACTTTGTCACGCAACGAACTGAATTACAGGCAACATCACTCACTAAGCTTGCGTCTTGTAATCATTTGCATGAAAGCAGCACTCATCATGCCAGACTGCAACCACCTCCGCTTCTCCAGGTGCCAAGCTTGGTTCAACACGGTGCAACTCTGGGCCTTCATAATGCGCCATGCGAGACTCGAAAGCAGCCATTGCAGGTAAGAATACGTCCTGTTGATACTTTTCACATCCTCACGCTCGTGACCATCCATGTAGACCCCTTTTTGTAAAATTGTACGCTGCCACCCCAGTTTGATTAATCATTGTCTTGCTGTTCATTCGCAAAGTGGCCGTGCAAGTGAGATGTTTAATGATGGAATAATGGTGGTGTTAAGACCATGTTGGAATTTGCGAGGAGTAATGTCACCAATTGGTTGTGACATTAGCCACTGACGACAAGTGAGCTGAAGCCTCTCATCTTTGAGAGGGCTTAATGCATTTTCTCGCCCACCACGTCTTTCAGCTGGAAGCTGTTCGAAAACTTGGTAGTGTCGTGCAAGTGCCCATATCTTTCGTGCAAAGTGTGCTCCTTGACCTTCATGCCACTGATGGGCAATTTCGAGACTTGCTGCAATCTGGCCCATTCCTTTTAGCCGAAGTGTTGCAAAGTTTCGAATCAGCAACAATTGGTTTATCCGAGAGAATGATAAGTGTATCTTGCCCTTTTGTTGAAGATCTTTCTTGATCTGCTCTCTCAGCTCATACCAACCTTGCACTTCAACTCCACCCTGTTCCTGCTCCTGCAGCTCGTCTTCCCACATCTCCTCTGCATTGAAGTTGCTGGCAAGACCCATGCTAAGTTCTAATGCAGGCACAGTAGTATGTCCTGCATCTTCGGAGTCCGAGTCACTAACAGAACTGTCATTATTGGGTGACTTGGATGATGGTGCAGTCTGTGCAGGTGGAGCCGATTTGGATGTGGATGGCATTGTAAGGACTGTGAATCCGAGACTGGTGAGTGATTGTTGATTTTGAAGGAGTTCTTTATATCGTCATTGTGTTCGTGCTGACTTGCTGCCAACATCTGGACCCTTCTTGTAAAATTTTGGACGTGGCACTTGTTGAGCCACCCGCTTGGCTTCCTTTGGAGACAGCCATGTCTCGTTGTGTGGGTTGTCATCAATTGACACTGCAAGGTCAATGAGCTGTGAACAGAGGCCACTGTCATTCAGATAAGTGTCTGGAATCTCCTCTGCATCTGATTCAATGTCTGATTGACTTTTATCACAGTTGTTGACCATCTTCAGGCTGTCAAATATGACCAGGGGGTGCCAGGTGTGAGTATTGTGTCCAGTATGACTGCTGACACTTGCAGGGCTGGGGGAACACAAATGACTTGAAGGGTGAGACAGCCTTATTTTTTTCGATGGAGACTCAGAGTCAGACACATCATCTGACTCAGATGATGAGGAGACATGCTGCTGTTGTGCAGCCACATGAAGCTGGTTCCAAAGGCCTTTGATATTCCTTTGTTGAGTGGACTTGGGTGGGCATCCACGACACATTTTGGCAGGTGGATTGGTGGCTGTAGGCACTAACTCAAATTTCAACCGCTGGTCGTGCTCATTTTTTTCCTTCACAACACACTAACCAATTTTGGATTCAGACATCATGATCACAATGCTAATGTGCTAAGGAATGTTTTCCACATTTTTCGGTATTTTTCTATCCATTTTAGGGGTTGGCCAAATTTTGAGGGTGAAAAACTTTTGGACCCCATGGAGAGGAAATTGGCTTGTGCAAATCACTTTATCATGTCCCAAATACTATATATGTAGGCTTAAATACTTAATTTGATTCAATGGAGAGTGCCCAAAAATTGAAGACCAAAATTGTCGAGTTTGTTTGTCTGCAACTGTAGCTCCTTACTTTGTGGATATCTGTACAGATACTCACAGACCACCCAGTAAATAACAACTACCTGTGAAATTGCACATTTTTTCACTGTCTATGTATGTACAGACACTCACAGAGCACTTGGAGAGCAATCATTGTGCACATATTCATTTATGTACAGTCCACCCAAGGTGTTTAGAAATAGTGGCAATATATTCAATCACGTGGTATGGAAACATCAGTATACTAGTAGTAGCAAAATATGAAAGAAAAAATGGCTCCCAAACTACAGTAGTACTGTAACTCAGACACAGAAATGTGAAGACTTAGTTGAGGACAATTTGTAGATGGGTGTATTTGGTCTCCTCAGTGCCATCTAAGTTTTAGACATGCAGCCCTGGGTGAAAATAATTAGCATCCGAAATTTCAAAGAAAAAGGTTGTTCTTGCCATCCTGCTTCAGCCCATTCCTGAAGTTGCGCTACTAACCTGGGACCATGATATGGATGTTGGAGAATTTGATCAATCATTCTGACCATCTGGCAGTATATTGGGCCATATTCTGTGGCAGAGAACTTGGGATAAGATTTGCTGTGACCGTTTTTGATGAGACCGCCAAGGACACAGTTATATTACAAAAATGTCAATACATGATGTCAAGGCAGAAAGTAAGAAAGTACCGCAGCAGAAACCAAAGCTAAACATGAGATGAGCAATTGCTTGCGAAAGATATCTGGCCTCTTCCGGGCAATTTGGTGTAGAGACTGATATCTCTGTGGGCTTGCAGAGGTCTAAATTCCCAATGTCTCTACCGCTTCCTAATATAGCATGACTCATATCTCACTCAAGCACTCAAGCACTTCGTCGGCTGCTCGCACGCACAAGCACTTCGGTCACACATCCTTGGTTCCATCGCTCGTCCTCTGTCAATCCATTCCATGTCCATTCGGTTTGTCGGTGCATATTCCCATTCTATTTCTATTTATTCTGACATATCTCTGGTGCTTATGGACATATTTTGTATGTTTTCCATTATGGACCCTTATATTACATATTATCTTGTATCCACTTCGCTTCTCATTTCGCTTTAGCACCTGACAGCGCTTAACATTACTTAGTATATATATGCGCTGTAGAGAATCACGCCTCTCATGGCGTGATATGGCAGTTTCCACTAAGGGAGTATACAGCACCAACTCGCAGCACCACTCTGTATACTGTCCACAGCAATTCCTATATGAGGCGCAGCTTTCACGCGCACCATTCCCGCGCTTCGCGATGTATACGCGCGCGCGTTCCCGCGCTTGCGCGCCCTATAGCGCCAGCCATCCAGATGCATCCATCCACTGTCCACCAAGCTCCCTAGTGCGTATATTTCCATTTCCTTTATTAGCATAGTGTTCCACCTTTATTTTTATCATGGACTCTCACCCATATATATCCTTACATACCTACTCGGTAGCGCTTCGGCTCCACATGACCGCGCTTAGGCGCGCTATATAAGCGCCAGCAGTACATACTATTACGGACTTACTTTTCACCTTAACTTACTTTTCCTACCAGTCACTTACTACTTAGCAGAGTATAGTAGAAATCTATTTGTCCACACTTTACATCTCTCTTCTCCTACCTTGCATCATATTAGCACTTAAGCTTAGTCTTTATCAATTTCCGCATACCCACGCGCGTGTTCCCACGCCTTGCGTGCACCTGCACTTTCTCGCACTTCACTGAGGCGCATACCTCTAGAACTTTGCTGTACTCACTTCCCCTTTAGGGTCGAACGCACTTGTCTCCTCAAGTAACGCAGACTAGGCAACGTGCGACCTTTCAACATTTATAGATACTGTCAGGAGCATCATTTGTTCCTAGCAGTATTGTTGTTTCTACAGCACATCTAAACTGTATAATGGCTATCTTTCTGCCCACACATCGTTGGACTCTCAGTCTAAGTTTCCCTCATATCTCTTAAGTATCTAAGTACAAAACGAGCACCCACTGCCACACATTACTAGAAACTCTGCCAATTAGTTTTCTGACTCATTAAGAGTCGCTGCACTCCACCACCTGCATGCACACACCACTTCCACTCAGCGCACACTTCCATTATAAGTCGCGCATCATCGCTTATCGTCACCTGCTGTCACTCATCAGCGCTTCACATCGCTTCCACTTGCTAGCGCTTCACTCATCGTCATGCGCCTTACCAGGCTTGACCAAGCACCTGGTCCAGTGTTTCCCTCCACATATACACTTTGAGGAACCTTCTCAGTAGCAATCCCCTTGGGTCAACACACATCTCGCTCATCAAGGACTACTTGAGTACATCTCATACCACTATATAACCCCACTACCAATTCCTCTTCTACATTGGTATGGCTCTGTGTAAAAGAATCCAATAACTGTCTCATGAAGGCCAGGATGAGCAAAATTCCTTGTTTTGCCCTAGTGATTTTAATGTATGTCATCAGAGTCAGTGCACAATCACTCACCAATGCATCCAATCCAAACAGTAAAAACTTGGATTCCAAAAGTAATTGCGAAGCAGCATTCTGGACCCACATTGCACATTCTTGAGCGGGGACTGACATGGGGGGAACAAGTGAGTATGCAAAAGGTGCAGGCTACTTGATGAAGCAGCTCAAGAGTTCCAGGGTCGGGAAGGCAGGGCTGGCCATTTTTCTTGTGGTGGGACACCAATATGTCACTAGGCTTTGAGGGATGCAAACGATAACTGTGAGCCTAGTTCAGAATAAAAACCATTTGCTCACCTCAGAACATTGTGTCTGTTGTTGCTGTTGCACTCCTACCAAAGGATCCAGAGAGCCCTTGAAAGCAAAAAGAATAAGTGCAATGCCAGTAAATCTATGTCAGCATACCTGAGAGTCACTGTTCTGGTGGACAGTCGAGGATTGAGAGTTTGCTACAGTGTTTTCATTGAGGCTTGTCTGAGCAGCCACATCATCCTCATCACGGGAGTACTGAAAATTGAATTCAGGTGTGAGATGATGAATGACTTGAGGCTGCGAAGGTAGCAATTCATTTGAAAAGCCTGTAAGATTGAAACAGGGAACAACATCAGGTGGATTTCAGTACGATAAAGGAAATTACCTGGATGGTCATTGTGATGTTGGTACCTATTCTCATTGGTGTGCTCATCCTCGTCTAACTCATCCTGGTCCTCTTCCCTCTCCCCATCCTCATCCTCATCCCCATCCTGGTCCTCATCTTTGTCATCACTGTCATTGGTGCTGCTGACTTTGGGTCTGCTGTTCAACAGTTGGAATTCTTGCAGTATAGATTGATGCCTGACATTGTTGTCCTCCTCGAAAAGGGCCGGATCCAAGTTTTATTCCATGAAGGTGGTGAGTGGCGGTACAATATTGTGTGGGTTTGGATTACAAGCTACTTTCATAGCATGCTTCTTGACAGCCTTTGAGCCAACAGTGACATGTGGATTGTTAGCCTCATGAAGACTATGGCCAGCACTGGAAGGAGCAACCAAACCAAACCTTCTGCCAGGTTGGTGCATTGAAAGACCAGGACCTGTGTTATCAATGCTTGCAGGACCATTGGTAATAGTGAGTGAACTATAAGGCGGAGGAACCGCCTGAATGCAAACATCAGCATTAGTAAAAACAAATACTTACATGCCTGATCTTTGAATGACCCTTCTGTTCTTTACGAGCTGGTTCTGGAGCCTGAGGGTTCACTGGGATATTAGGACTGAGGGATGTGGAGCCCTTGGGAGGACGACTTCGAGACTGAGACTCAAGGACTGCACCAATCTTTTATAGCTGGCTGTTCCTGCCTCTGGTCCCTGCATTGGGGCAGCCAGAATGTCGTGGAGCACCATCTTCAGTTTCAGCAAGGCCAAGGGAAACAAGTGGTATGCTGAGTGTTTCGGTGAGGTCCATAGTCTGACAAGATTTTTTGGGTACACCTGCCCTGCCAGTTGAAGCATCTGAGCCTTTGCACTTCGACCTCTTCTTCTTGGGGCTGTTAATAGCATGAGGAGGCATGACTGCAACTACATAGAGGATAGAGAAAGAGGTGAAGCCTGAGTCTAGCGATTCATCAAGTCGCAAACTCACCAGTCTTTTATATAATAATATCATGTCTCAGTGCCAGGTGGACCAATAGAGCGACCTTGATGCGAGTAATTGACAGTATTACATTTCAAAAATGTATGCAACATCACACTGAAACATGTACCATGTAATAATCAATGCTGCATGTTTCAAGTGACTCAACTTGATGAGAATAAATGTGTGAACTCAAGTTGCCAAGAAACATAATTTATAAGTCATACAATTCACAACAACCAAAAACGTAGTACATCGGGTCAACGTGAGAATGAGAGTACAACAAAGTAACAATGAAAAATGATGTTTACATTGAATAATCAGCCTGTATGTATGCTAACCATCTGACTTGTTGTCAGTCTCCGAAATACCATCAGATTTCTGACACTTGGGTAATTCCATGGGGAAAGATTGTGAAGCGGTGAAGGTACAACAATTCAGATAGTGAGTCTGAACAATGTGTTGGGTCTTGCAGAACCTAGCTGCTATTCGACCCTAAAGGGTTTCTGGACCAGGCTCAAGGCTCAGAGGAGAGGAAATATCATAAAAACTACTGAGGACTCTGACTCATACTGGTAACTGGTGAAAAGATTGATTGCTTATGTAAGCTACAAAAGTGCCAACATAAGGTAAGGTAAAAACAGTCTCTACAAGCCCAGCCAGAAATGAATCCCTACAGCGGCACACTTCTTGACACGGTCTGTGAGAATAGCAGCAGATTGTCTGAGTATCTTGACAGTGGAAATGAGCTCCTCGTCATCCGGAAGGCAGTCAAGATGAGTGTTTAATAATGTAAGGATGGTGTTGAAGGAAACAGGGTTCTCCATGTTGTCCTTCAAAGCCATACACCACTCCTTGGCAAGAGGGATTAAGTCTTTGAAGTAAGGATGGATCTCGTCTACAAGACAGTGTTCCTCCTTCTTGGTTGCGAAAAAATTGCCCTTGAAGGCTGTGCAGGATTCAAGGTCCATGTTGTTCCAGCAATCAGATATTGAGTTTCCTATGGTATCCTGGTGTACCTGGCCATGGGTGCCACAGAATTTGATGCAAATCCAGATGAATATGAAGAAAATTGATTCGAGGTTGTCTGAAAAGCATTGAATGACATGCGATACAGGCAACATCAAAGTGTTTGAAGACATTTTGGGGATATATTTCGGTTTCTTTCTGCCCAGTGCTGCCTGTTGTGCATCTGAGAGTTGGGCAAGAAGCCCATGAGACATGAATGGGATTGTTCCCTGTAGATTAGATGAACAGATCAGTACTAAATGTACTGTAATTAACTGAATGCACTTACCGATGGCATACTTCAGATATGGGTTGATGCACACTGTGGACTCCCAGTCAATTAGAAACCCTTTACTATCACCTCCTGACAGATCTACAATCATTGTGTTTTTTAAGCTGCAGTCATGGTGTAGAACCTCGCATTCCTCCACCGCCATGCATTGAACTGAAATTAGATTTGTCAGTTCAAAGATTGCCAATCAAAAAAAAAACCCTTTACTGATGACAATGTCTGCTTTCACAAACTCTTTAAGAGTTCGGAACATATGCAGGGGGTGAGGCCAGGGCATCAAGACAAGTCGAACATGTGAGTGACTGGTCCCTGCAATACTTAGGTGCTGCGGTTGTTTTTGATATTTGCTGGTGTAGAGAATCATGCCTCTCATGGTGTGATATGGCACTTTACACTAGGAGTACATAGCACAAACTTGCAGCATCACTCTGTGTGCTATCCGCAGGTATTCCACTATGAGGCGCAGCTTTCCCGCGCACCATTCCCACGCTTCACGATGTATACACACACACACGCGTTCCCGCGCTTGAGCGCCCTATAGCGCCAGCCATCCAGAAGCACCCATCCACTGTCCACCAAGCCCTCTAGTGCGTATATTTCTATTTCTCTCATTTGCATATTGTTCTGTCTTTATTTTTATCATGTATTCCCACTCATATATATCTTTACATACCTACTCGGTAGCGCTTAGGCGCACTATATAAGCGCCAGCAGTACTTACTTTCCATTTTGACCACTTACTTTTCCTACCTTTCACTTACCTTTTCACCTCTAACTTTACCTACTACTTACTACCTAGAAAGTCGCAGCAGAAATCTATTCCTCTACACTTCGCATCTCTCTTCACTTATCTTGCATTATATTATCACTTAAGCTTAGTCTCTCTATCATTTCCACATACACGTGCGCACTTTCTTGCGCTTTGCGCAATACACGCGCGTGTTCCTGCGCCTTTGTGCCTTGCGTGCACCTGCACTTTCTCGCACCTCGCTTCAGCGTGTACCTCTAGATCTTCACTGCACTTGCTTCCCCTTTAGGGTCAAACGCACTTGTCTCCTCAAGTAACACAGACTAGGCAATGCACGACCTTACAACATTTTTTAGATACAGTCAGGAGCATCATTTGTTCCTCTCGGTATTGTTGTTTCTACACTGGTCACATTGGATTCTCCATTTGACCTTTCAATCACCCACCAATCCACCAACTCAGGAACACCAGGGACGCCAGATATACGCTTCAACATTTTGATCTCATTCAACATCACCTGATCCTCCTTACCCTGAACCCAATGGTCTTTGATGATGAATTCCTTATCATCCAAAGAGACCAAGTAGCAGACAGTTCCACAACTAACAAGGCCGCGACTCGCAAATAGGATCCTTGTGATCGTGTAGATTGTGTTCCTGACATGAATTTTGCCACACAGTTCAGGTGACTGAGCTGAATATGGGAATTGTGAAGGATAGGGTGTAGCAGAATAGATAGTGTCAGGCTCCTTAGGCGCTTGGGATGTGAGGTTGAGAAGGGGGGTGCTGGAGATGGCAGTGACTTGTACCAGGTGGGGATCCTCCAGATTCTTCATAGAAATGTATGTACCATAGTCAGCATGCAACTCTAACTCTGACTCAGGCTCTGAGTCGGGAGATATTGTCTCGATGACAGCACTTGGTGCACCCTCAACATCACCGGGTGGTGGATAAGGGGGCTCAGACGTGGTTGCAGCCATGATGTGATCTGCAGGTTGCCATTTGGCAGGGTGGTTCTTGATCAGACAATAGTTATTGGTGTGGCATTGGGGATGAGAAATGTGTTTTGTGAAGGAGACTGTGAAGTCATAGCCTATTCACTCGAGGCTACTGAAATGAAGGGCAGCAATAATGTGAGCAACAATGCTTGGTTTTTGGTAGATATTAAAGGCAGGGGACACAACACCACCGGCATGATCATAGAAAAGGACTCTGAGCTCCTGGTACTTGTTGGTGAGTGATAGTACAAGCACAAAGCACCTCCAGGGCTGCTCACTCAGCATGAGGTATGCATGACCATCAGCAGCTTTCACAAGTCGCAACACAGGTTGATATGAACTGTGCGTCAGCTCAGCTGACACCCTGATATTCCCCCAATTTGCCATGATCTCGTCTGATAAGAGGAGATCGAGTTTCCGCTTCACCTCACTACCAGGTAATGCTTTATATGTGTGGGCCACAGTCCATGTGCGTGTTGCAGTGGGGTTGGCTAGTAGTTTGGGCTCTGCCTTCACTAAGCAGATAGCCAAAGTGTTGAAGAATGATGAGAAAATTTCTTCGTGAGTTGCTGTTGTGGTTTCGCCAGTCCCTGCATTGCCCTCCAAATCTCAGCTTTCAAATGGTTGAGAGTGAGTTGTTGATTCAGATTCGTTTGTGGGAGCAAGAGTTGAAAGGTTCCAGTTCCATAGCTACACATCAGTATTGTACAATGGCACCAGGTCATCTGGTGAATTTTTGCTGAATTTTGCTTTGGTACATTCATTGTGATGAAGGATGTTTTTGAGTGGGATCCGGAGTGTAGATAAATCTGGTAGAGGTATGCTGAAAGGCTGAAAGATATGAGAGAGCATGTGTCCCAGCGATTGCGAATCAGAGGATGCTGGTTCATCTTCCTGCATAACTAGATGATTTAGTTCCTCAGCCGTGTACTTGTTCATTGTAAGGGCATCGCCTGAAATAGTGGCAGGGAGCAAGACCAATGATGACAACTTTATTCCATAGCCGCCCATCCTGAAAAAGAACTGAGGTGGCATTTGTTCAGTATACTCTAAGCTATAATATGACAATGGTGGGAGCAACAAGATGCCCTTATCGCACGACATCACTACATCCATCAATGCTTGTTGAACTCAGAATATATCAGAAAGAAGCTTGTTGACAACCAATAGCATGAAAGTTAAAAATACAGGCAGGAAGCTACATAGAGAGCAGAAAGAATGTGTTCTTGTCCCAAAATTTATTTACCCGAAACTCTGACATGTGCTCCATGCTGTTCTGTGAGGTAAAACAGCTGTCTGCACAGGCTCCAAAGTGAGGAATGAGATTACAGCTGTTTGCATATATGTTGCCAGTCACGTTGTTTTTTTTGTTCAATTAGGAAACTTAGGACTTAGTGAAAATCGTACTATCAACAGCTGGTATACAACATGCCGTTTCACAAGATTAGCCGTGATGTCAAACTCGCAGCAATCCGATTACACAAATGTGAACTTTTGAGCCTTGCGGACATCTTGGATTGCTGCAGATTTTCGGAACGGACTTGGTTCCACATTTTGAAGCTCTGGTGGAAAACTGGCGACGTTGTTGACCCTCAGCCTCACAGAGTACTCCATGGTCATCTGCATGTGTTGGATCACAAGGATATTGATTGCTTGCTGTGTCTTCTCAGACAGAATCCCGACTACTTCTTGGACGAGTTCATGCACCTCCTGCAAACCAATTGATTCATATCTGTCCACTTCACAACAATATTCCGTGAGCTTGAGCGTGCCAGTGTAAGCTACAAGAAACTCAAGCGGATTGCCTCAGAATGCAATGAGACTTGTCGCGCTGAGTTCATTGCACGCATGGCTCAATATGAAGCATCGGAGCTAGGATTCATTGATGAGACGTCGAAGGATGAATGGACACCTGGTAGGCACTATGGACAAGCAAAGTCAGGCAAGCATGCAGAGATAGATCAAGTATTTGTGCAGGGACGACGAACATCAACAGAAGCCCTTCTCACACTCAATGGGATCATTGCTACGACAGTTGTCGAAGGCTCGATGACTCAAGAACTGTTCTTGGAGTGGCTTGAGAACATTGTTGTAAGTCCTATGGATGATTACCAAGAGCTAACAGAGACTTTCAACCAGCTACCAAAATGTTCAGCCTACCCCAGTCCTCTCAGTGTCCTCGTCATGGACAATGCCAAAATTCATCACGGCGCAGAAGTTCTTGAGCTAGTTGACCGTTTTGGTGTGTTCACTCACTAATATCTTGTGTTCTTCGTTATAATACAGTATTTTTGTATTTGCAGGTGTGCATATCGAGTATCTACCACCATACTCACCTGATCTCAACCCTATTGAAGAGGCATTCTCAAAAATCAAGCACTGGCTCCATCATCACCAACAATATTATCTCGCTGCTACAGGTGATGGTATCATCTTTGATATGTATGAGGTTACAGAGATCATATCTTCTGATGATGCACATGGATATTTCATACATGCAGGGTATTTCTAGACTATGAAACAGTTTGTATAGTATACATGGTATTGGCAATGTAGTTGTGAGCAGGTCCAAGTCCTATGAATAAAATATCAAGCATGAGGGAGAGACCACCTTTCCACTGCGTCGCGTAATGCAGCAATCTCACCCAACTGAAATCCCATCTCCTTCAACTCTGGAATGGTTACAAAGCAAAGGAATCAAGCTTCTTTGTAGGCATTCTCAGCAAGCTTTGCATGAATGGTGTTGCCTAGGTCATATTCTTCACAAAACTTGTTGAGTGGCATGTCTGTTCCTTGCATACGAGATGGATGAAGGAGAGAGGTACATGTAGGGTCGGAGGGGGCTGCAGCTGCAGCCAGTGGTATCACGGGAATAGCAGGCACCTGTGGGCGAAAAAAATTGATGACTTCATTTCCGATCGTGAAGTTGAAAACTGGGGCAGATGATGAAGATGATTTAGTGTTTTGGGTGTCGAGTCGCCGCTGTAGTACAGGACTGATTGCTGAAGGACGAGAATCGAAAAGCTTGTGATGTGGTGGCTTATTGACAGTTGCCATCCCATCATCCTTGAGCTGCGCACATCAATTGATTAGTAAAAAAGTCCTCAGGAAATAACTCACCATCGCAGATGCCCAACAGTCAAATTGTTCATGTCCGAGTGGGAGGTGTTCTTCAGTTTCTGGGTTGATATAGCAGTGTTCAGAGGGGCATGCTGAGTCTGTCCTCTTGCACTTCCAGCGAGCTCGAAGAATTTGAATGTTGTTCAACTTCCTCTCATTTCCAGGAAGGAGAGCAGGGGATTCTTTCTATGGAGGACGTGGTCAGTAAGGAATGTACCAAGAACACTATAAAATTCACTCGTTTCTTATTCTTCATTGGTGCATGTTCTGCATTATCCTCATTTTCGTCATTGCCAGTGTTTGCTCCCTGAACTTGGCCCTGGACAACAGTGATGTTGACAAGCGGACTCACAGCATTCATTCCATTCACGTGCTTCATCATACCATCGAAATCAGCTTGCATTATGAGTGACAATCCAGGTTTTGGGAGGACTCGTGGGATCTAGTATGTAAGGGCATAGTCATCGAAGTTGAGGACACGGGGCTTGATTGCATTGGAAATCTTCACAAGGACCTGGGCCTTGAGAGTATCCCAGGGTTCATCAGAGTTCAGGTTGACAGAAGTGCTGATAGGCTGGCGTTTGGTTTTTGCTTTCTTCATTTCGGCAGCAGAGAATACAGTGATGATGTAGGAGACCTCCTTTGTCAGTGGGGCTGGAGCATGATTGGCAATAGTACCTGACACAATGATCAAGGTAAGACCCTGCATATATGTGCGAAATTACATGAACATACCTCGTTTTTGCTTCTTTACGATTGTTGGAGGAGGTGTATGGATGCTTTGTGATTGATTGGGTCCAGCAGCTATGTTGAGTTCATTGCTCTTGGTGTCATCAGCCTCAGGGTCATCATCCACCTCCATCTGGTCAAGAGCATCAAGGATAGTACTGGTATTGCGAAGCTGCAGATCATCTTCATTAAAGCTGCTATCTAGGTCCTCCTCGAGCATGAGAGCCAGACGGTTATGTGCTGATTTTTGTGACATCGCAATACATAGGAGTTTAAATGCAGTACTATCATCAAAAAATTCTAAGTCTCAAGTTTCCTAATTGAACAAAAAAAACGACGCGACTGCCAACATATATGCAAACAGCTGTAACAGGAGCCTTGATCTCCATCAGTGGTATAATATCACCCCCTAACATACCATTGGAACATTTCACCCTTCTGATCGAGTGCAACTGTGTGGTAGGGTCACGAGCGCTCATTGTACCATCAAACCGGTACATATAGACAAGGAAACAGTCCTCCCATGACCAATCCATGTTGATTCTTCCAACTGGATGCATGATAAGCCTAATTTGACCAATTGTGTGACCTGAAAGATAATAGTGAGAATGTATTCAGCATGATAGAAGGTTGTAACATACCACAAAGACCATGAGCAGGCCAAAGGCACCCTGACTCATTGTTCACAATAGCTGAGTCATACCTACCAGAGTTCCAGACATCAGAAGACGGCACACAATTCAGGGTCTGCACGGGCCATATGATGCTACTGTCATGAAACTCTGTGTCCTGTAGGCAAAGTTTGAACCAGATTTGAATTTTATCAAATGGCAGGGAAGCAGTAGGTTCAGCCCTCCTGGCTCCCCCAATTGTGTGGACATAATTCTGTCCATAGGTAGCTTCGTGATGAAGAAAATCAGCAATGGCCAGCTGTAACTCAGGAAGGCTGAATTTGATAGCAGCATCGTTGATGGAGATGGATCTGATGGATGGGGAATACGTGAGATGATATGCCATGCATCTGATGACGAATGTGTGCAATGGCAGAGGGACAGTCCCAACCTCCTTATGCTGGAGGATCTTCACAATCGCAAAGTAATTGGTGATTGGGCGCGAATGTCCAGGACATTTTATAGTGGCCATAAATTCCATGGGGAGGTCATCATCATCATCCACATCAAAGTCAACATCATCACCAATATTGTCATCCTGTAGCCTCAAGCTTGCCATACCACCCACGAGACTCATTGCAAGGTCAAAGCGATGGCACTTATCAACCTGGTCGAGATGTCAACAAATCTAAGGATCATAGTAGTTGTTGTTGCTTGATCATGCAGGGTCTTTAATCTCTATGATGTGTGCATGCTCTGTTGTATCTGCAGTCCATTGCATGGCAACATCAGTGTTGCAGATGCTGGGAACTATACTCTGCATGAGCTCCAATTTGGGAATGTACCAGTTATCAATAACTTTGTTCTTGTTGCCTCAATGAAATCCTCCAGCTGTGATAGCATGTTTATTGGCGTGAAATTCATCGAGGGCTCCAGAAATGCACTTGATGTTGTCTTCATCAATACGTGGTGACTGGATGAGATACTGAAATTCCATCAATGCTCGGACAACAGTAATCACAGTACTAGGTGCTGCATTCCCACTGACTGCAACGATTGAACGCTGAATGTCACGTTGAGTTTGACCTGTAACCTGTTTTAGCTTAGAGATACCACTGTAAAAATGACAAAAGCCAGTGACAGGCTGCAACACAGAGAACCAGAAATCAATTTCCATATCCCCAACCACACAAATAATCCACTTGATGTTGTGATCATAGAATTCTCAGTGAATGAGATGCAGAAATTCTGGAGTGAGGAAATGAGATGGTTCACCAAGGGTCCAGTCCTGCCAGAAAGGTTGAGAGACACCATTCAGGCAAAATTTCTGCACTTCACGAAAGAAGGCTTCAATATTGTTGGGATCTGCCCTTGTTTGAATGACAGCCAGCTGTGTAAGTGTGGTTGATTTCATGCAAGGTTCATGATGGAAAGGGTCTCTGAACTGCTTGAACATGGCCATGGTAACCAGAGATGTTTTCCCACTGACAGTAGCTAGCATCATAGCCTCTGAAGTGTCAACAATATAGCTTGCCAGGGGGGTAAAACAATAGCAGCTATGTCCAACAGGGCCTGATAACATGACTCCTTCATGTGCAGCCTGCTTGAGCGGACACAGGACAATATCTAAACATTCATGAATTAAGCGATCCTCAAGTACACCTCACATGCATTTATTCTTATGTATGAATTTAGGTACAGGGAGCAAGGCAGTGAGTACAAAGGAGTTGGACAATGTCTTGAGTCATGTGGACATGTTGATATTCGCAAGGCTGATGAGAAGTGGGTGCGCAACTCTATCACCCGTCATTGTGGATATATTCATTTTGTTAGATGATAGAATGGTTCCAAGGAGTGTTGCATCTTTGGGTAGAGCAGACTGTCAAGAAACCAATAAGTTCAGCGACTGGTGCAAAACATGAATATATACCTGCATATTCCATGTGTCATCGCCTGTCATCCATTCTGGATATACACAGCACAAGTATTGTGCAGTAGTATAGACCCTGCGAGGTGTGAAGTCTAACCAATCGTGAAAAAAGGGATGATTCAGAATGGCTGAAATACAGTCCAAGGGATCACGCCAGTACAAAATGATGGGTGATTTGATGGGATGACTCATAGAGAGCACTTGGGACATTCAGCATGGACCACTGGGCAACATTTCTGCTCTCACTCACAGTTCCTTGGCTGAGGAAAAAGATATTGGAAGACCCTGGATCTTGACAAAAGACTTATCAACAAAATTGTAATGAAAATGAAACAATTTGCTTACTATCTCGAGTGACAAAAAACCGTCTATCTTCCCCATGCTCAATCCTAAGCACAGTAACCATGATGTGATCTCCCAGTCCTTCTGGCCACTGAATGGGTATTAGGGATTCTTGGCATGGTACATGCTATTCTCATCAGAATTGAATAAGTTGAGGAAGGTGTACCCCTTGCCATACATCCAAGAAGATTTGGGATCCTGGTCGACAAAATCTGAGGCACCATTCGGAAGTAATCCCTCCCCAGAGGCCTGGCCACCACTCTCACCGCTACCCCCAAATGACTTGTCTCTATCTCCAAATGTGAACTCAACCTCAGCCTGAGGCCCACCACTGGGAATATTTGGTTCATCCAACTCATCTGTATTCATAGAATCATCAGATAGGTCTCGCAGACATATTAAATCCTGTAGCCAGGTGCTACATCCTGAGTGAGGCTGGCTCATGTGACGAGCAACAGCAACCTGATCTCTGAAACCAGCTTTACTGCATGAAAGACACTGGAAATTGGACATGATGTCCTCGCAAAGTCCAACACTTGTGAGTCGTGAGAAGCCCAATTCATAATCAATAACTTACTCTTTGTTTCTCCAAAATGTCAGCCCCACCAATCAGTCTTACAGCTATTTGAAAAAATGATGATACTATGTCAAGTGTGAGAAAACATCAATGAAAGAAAGACTTGGCGTAAATTTCTGTAAATTTCTTCATACTTCAAATTTCCAGTGGTATGCCTTACCGCAGCATCAGTGACGACCTCAAGCTTGCGGTTATCCGCTTGTACAACAGACAACTTCTCTCAATACCTGATATTCTAGATGCTGTGGGCATCTCTCGTCCAACCTTTTTCCGTGTATTGAAGCAGTATCATGCAACTGGCCATGTATCAAAGCCCAAGAGTCTCCGTCGTGGTCGGCCAAGAGCTCTAAACTACAGTGATGTCTATCACCTCCTCGAACTTGTCAAACAGAGACCAGACTGGTTCCTAGATGAGCTCCAGCATCTTCTAGAGACAAACTGCTTTATATCTGTCCATTACACCACTATCTACAACACTCTTCAGCGAGCCAGAATCTCAGTCAAAAAACTTCGTCAAGTAACACAAGAACAAAATGAGGATCTTCGCATTGACTACATGCGCAAAATTGCTCAGTATGGCCCTGATGAGCTTGTCTTCCTCGACGAAGTGCACAAGAACAATAAGACACCACAACGGTCAAATGGACGTGCAAAGAAGGGAACACGAGCTGTGATGAGGGGACTGTTTGTTCGTGGACAGCGCCTGTCTGCTGTGGGTGCACTTTCAACAGAAGGAATGATTGCATCAACCGTGGTTTTTGGTTCCATGACATGACGCAAGTATTTGAACTTCTTGGAACACAGTGTGGTACGTTACAATGCCATTCTCACCTGTCACATGAGTCTGTAGTTGAGTAATAGCATCCAGCTTCCTCTCTGTTCTGCGTACCCTGGCAAACACAGTGTCCTTGTCATGGACAATGCCCGTATTCATCATGGAGAAGAAATACTTGAGTTAGTGCGTCGCTTTGGTAAGCTTTTTGGTTGATACAATCCGCAAGGCTGATGGCCCATGGCCTATCAATTGAAAATTCAGGTGTCCATCTTGTTTTCTTGCCACCCTACTCACCAGACCTCAATCCAATTGAGGAAGCATTCTCGCAAATCAAAGCATGGATCAGGAGGAATTACGACCTATTCACACCAGGCCCTGGTGTGCTGTATGATATGAGGGAGGCAATGGATATCGTTACAGCAGAGGATGCGAGTGCATACATTCATCATGCTGGCTACTTCTAGTACTGTACAAAACATGCAACCTGAACGAAAATAGGAATAGCTTGAAGTTTAGTCCGAGTCTGAAAGTGTTTTAGACCTGCTGAGACCACTGTGCCATACCATCCTTGAGCTGTGCGATGTCACCACATTGCAACTCCATGCTCTCCACATCCCGAACTGTAGCATAGCATAGTGCTGATGGTCCAGTGAACCCATGACGAACAAGGACCTCTCGCAATCCGTCAGAAAGCCTATATGCTGTGAAAAATTCAGTGAGTTCCATACGAGGACCACGGCTTGGATAAGGACAGAGATAGGACAGTGGCCCAGGAAGACTTGGTTCAGGGGCATCACGAACAGGCAAGGCCAGTGGTTGGGGCCGAAGGTGCGCAGGTGTCATATCCCGTATTCCGGACCTACATCCGATAATATTCCCACGCCTCATCCGGACCTTCGGATGTGCTATCCATGTCTCCAGTACCCATCCAGATCCCTGCACCTCTGCACATCCACATCCACATGTCCACGTCCAGATCCCTTATTCTTCGCAGCTAGTCTGCATCATTCATCCTTGTCCCATCGCCCTAATGCCACATCCTATATATCCACGCATCTCATCCGGACCATATCCGATCCGGTCCGATCCGATGTATAGATCCGCTTCCGATCCGATATATGATAAGCTTCATAATTCATTTCCTGTGCATATGATGTTAACACAGCCTATCCGGTATTCCTTGTTACCGGTACCTCAGTTATATCTATTACCGGTATGCTTACTGATCCGTTAACCTATGTTCATTTCCGACTCGCGTTTGTCAACCTTTGCATATGCTTCATACATAGCCTCGGACTCTGCTTATTGATCCTTCCGTTATTTCTCTTAGTATATAAACTCACATATATGTCTTGTAGTACCTCAGTCTGAATATCATATTAGTCCTCGCACTAGTCTTCACTCTAAGTCCTCATATCAGTTCTAGTCTTCCAACTTAGTTGTTATCCATCTCAGGCCTAGGGAGTTTCTCCCTAGGCCGGAGCTCTGCTTATCCGATACTCCGCTCCTCCACTCCTCCACTCATCCGAAGTTCCGGAAGTTTGTCCGGAACTTTCCCGCGGTCCTCCGGACCTATTCTGCTTCGGACTTTGTCCTTGCAGCCTTTCCTCTGTTTGCTTCTACTCAGGACAAGTCCTGAGTAGCCATTACACGTATCTGTATTAGGACGAAACCCCATTGTAATTTCCGGAAGTTCCTCCGGAACTTTCCCGCACTCATCCGGAAGTTACTTGTACCCGTCCGGAAAGTCCTTCCGAAGTTTCCCGCGCCTTCGGATGTCCTTCGGACGTCTTCGGACTTTCCTCGGACACCAATCTGAAATTAAGGGCACATACTCGGGTAAGGGGCGCAGCGCATGAGCTGAAGCCAAGCCCCTCAGAATCAGTCCTACCCTTTGTGCATGGTCTTAACAGCAGGAGGGACAGGTGGCAATCCAGCATGCAGTCCATGGAACATGTCGACAGGAAAATTGACATGGATAACAGGTGCAGCAGGATCACGTGGATTCTTCACAGTGTTCCTTTGCTGACGACATTCAGTGAGAAGAGATTTTGTTGGCCCATCTTCGTTCTCAAATAGTGCTTCGAACAAGTGGTGGTTTGGTGGCCGGTCCTCAGTGGCATGTTCCTTCCCCTTGCACTTGCAAAGAATGAGTACAAGATTCGCACACGAAATATGATGAAATATGAAACAAGTTACCATGGCTGCTGCCCAACAGTCAAAGTGACTGAATCCCAGTTCGAAATGTATGTTGTCGGTTGGATTGACGAAGCAGTGATCACTGTGACAACCCGGCTTCTTGTGGCAGACCCATCGGGTGCAAATGATCTTGATGTTGTTGTTGTGCTCTTCATTTGCAGGATCGATGTCATCCCCCCGTGGTGCCTAACTGAAGCATGAACAGCGAGATGTATTTATATAGTACAGGACATACTTTGTCTTTGCTTTCTTCATCTTTTTCTTTCCTCGACCATTGTCAGACTCACTTTCCTCAACATCAGCATCCTCGCCGTTCCTAAGCTTGTCAGTTTCATCATTGCCTGCAGTACTCTTTCACTGCTCAGAGATATAAATAAATCTTGAGTCAGTCGAACAAGACATACTTTTCGTGAAGTCTTCAATGGTATCTCTTGGATCCAATGTTACCTGTCAAGTCCTTGTGTTTGCGAATGCATTCCAGAAGTATCTCATAATCATCATCCTCATTGATTGGAAGTGGGTGTGGGAAGAGTCGAGGAATGCTCAATGAAAGTTCGTAATTCTTGATATCGAGTTTCTTTGGCTTAGCTACATTTTTGATTCAGCAAAGGAGCTGAGCCTTCCACATGTCAAATGGCTCGTCACTGTTGAGCTTGAATGATCCATTCTTTCCACTGGACGAGCGTTTCTTGAAGTCTTTATTGTATTCAGATGCGGAGAATATCGAAAAGTTGTATGTGAGCTTGATTGGCTGTGGGGAGTCTGTCGAAACAGGCGCTAGACACAAAGAATGGTGAGTACAGCTCAGATGTTTGAGTTAGGGGGTGCATATATGCACCATTCTTTGCAGATTTTTGCTTCTTTTTCGGCTTTGTGGGCTTTTGCATGCATTTCACTTGAGTAGGAGCCTTTGGAGGTGAAGGTGTAGCAGCTGCAGACTCAAGCTCAGTGATTTCAATTTCGGTGTCGGTCCTGGTCTGTGTTAGAAAGTCACTGCTATTGGTACTATCCAGGTCATTGAAGATAGAATCGAGAGCTGCAATAATAGTTGTATCTCCATCTGCACTTGTGGGGCTGTCTGGAACTATGGCCAGTGTGAGATATTGCCTCTGCTTTGCCATGATAAGTTGAAAGTATAGCAGTGAAGGTGCGTGGCAGCGGTAGCGCGTTGCGTCTTCACAAGATTTTACAGAATTTTCACCAAATCTTTCTTTCATTGATGTTTTCTCACACTCGACATAGTATCATCGTTTTTTCAAATAGCTGTAATCTCAGCAATGATATCCCATCATCATCTTTGTGCCTGATGCCTTGTACATGCACACACCCTGTTCAGCAACATCCAAGTTGTCACTCATGTCGCCACAATTCCAGCGGTATTTCTGACCTGTATGATATAGCTGATAGTATCAGGTCAATAGTAAGTCAATCATATTGTATCGCATTTGCTCTAAGTAACATGGTACTTACAGTCAATCAACAACACCGATGAACTTGAATCCAACCTCGTCATGGACCTGGTGAGGGCAAGGCGGGATGTATTCAGGGCGGAGAAGGTGCTAGCAGATTGTGTAGTGTGAGAATGCAAAATCATGGTGAATCTTTCCAAGCACCAGTCTGATGTTTCAAAGAAAAAGCTTGACAAAGCAGATATAGGATTAGGGTATATGCAAATTACTTTTAAAAAATATGGTCTTTCTCACCGTTCACTTGCGCCATGCAGTTTGCAAGGTAAGTCATATCTGTTCACATTCACCACTGCAAACTTCATGTCTTATCACAGAACAATCCAACTGTCACGTATCAGTAATTTTAGACTGATGACTCGAGCTATTCTTATTCTTTTGTGTTCAAGTTTGGCGCACACATTAGTAGTACTAGTATGTACAGTACTACTACTATATATTGGTATTTTGTTGAATATAATGTTTGTATCGTAATTGGAAACAATGTGCAAATTCAAGCTAGTAGTTCAAAGGAAGTTCTGAGCCTGCTACTACTAAGTACTACTACTAGTAAACTTCAACACTTTCAAAAGATTGAGGCTGTTGAGCTGGAAATCATTGAATTTATTTTGAACAGTCTGACCCAGTTGTGAGCTCAGTGACCACTTTGGCATCTGGGGCTGTATGTTCTGTGAGCTCTGTCGCCACTTTGGGTGTCTGTGGGAAACTGTCAAAAATTACCATATCTGTGAAGAAATTTCTAGTTTGCAGATGAACATGAGTAAATATGCCCAGTGCAGTGCTCAAGGTCTGATTACTATATGAGGTAGTATTTGCTTGATAGTTGAGCACAAGTGTCCGGCTTTCCATACTGTGCACCAAGGTGATCCGTGTCTTGCAATCCAGCACGTCGATGGTAACCTGCAAAACATACACGGACTTCATGGATACTTTACAAGTTCACGTGATCACGTGATACAACTTGTCGACGAGGACTCGGACATCGGCCAAGATGACAAACACGGTCACAGCGACAACTCACACAACGATGATGGCCACAATAATAGACGATCGTCGATGATTTCCTGCACGCACTAGTATACTTATTGCTCTGTATTCCAAACAACGTGTAATGCTACCGCATCATGTACAACTTAAAGCTTCATCATGATATGTTGAGTATCTTACATAAATCATCTCAAAATCTTTCTTCTGATCATAGACCTCGTGTGACTACAAACCCTTGGAAGCCATGATATCAGCTGCCTCTACAAGCTTCTTCTCGATGCCAGGCTCGCGCGAAGAGTGTCCTGCATCTGGGATGATGTGCAGAGTAATTTCTGGCCAGGTCCGTTTCAGAGCCCAAGCAGTAGTCGCCTGGTCCAAGCGTCTTTAGTAAGGGCGTCTCTGAAAACATGAAAAATCTGCATACGGGGCATACAACATCGTATCTTCCTTGAACCACGATAGTTGGAATGTGACGACTAGGAACAGTGAGAAGGGATCGAGGACACGCGTAGAACACACGTACATCTTATCGATTTCCTGCTTATCAAGCAATTGACCATCACGCATGAAGCCCTGCACAGTCGCCACCATAAATCGCAATCGAGCCAATTCTTTAACAGACAAACCTCATTGACGAAATAATGGTTTTCGATCCGAGCAAACGCGCTGAATGTTAATTCAGCAGAAAATAGAACTCGCCACTGGGTCCACGTACTTTGCAAAGTCATCTTTCTCCGCTTGGGCGACAGTATCCGCACTTACGATCAGCCTTGATGTAGCCATCCTTGTAACATGATGTCAGCAACAAGCATAGTGCCAACGGAGTGGAGGGCATTCTACTTACTCCCACTTCGCCCACGCCTTTGCAGCGGCCAGTCTGATATTTTCGTCTGGAGAGTTCAAGCGGCTGTGGTACGCCTTCATCATGTCGTGCTGTTCAGCCTCTGGAATTGGGGCGAGGTATTCTTCCCTATACAACTGGGTCACCCGACAATGAAGGTTTGTCGTTACTATGTCAAATTACCATTGTTCTGGGAAAAGATGGGAAGCGCCATCCTGATAGAAGAATCGCAGTTCGCTGAAAGAGGTAGGAAATGGTTAGCATGCTCTATTTTAGCTCATAGAGCAACCCATACCTTTGTCTTAGCGTGAAGATTCCACTTTGAAAGAATTGGTTGTTTAGAATTGCCTGGTATGTAACCAACATCATCGAGGCTCACCGGAGTACGAGGGACTTGACTCTGTCTGGATGTGTCTATGTAACGAATTGACTGCTCAGACAAGATATTGTGTAGCAGGAATCTGATCACAGACCTGGGCGTATGTAAGGGAGAGCGTAGAACCCTGTACGTCTGTATCAGTGATGAAGTCTAGAAGAAAACACACTAACACAGACCCAGCTACCACCAAATACATGCCATTTCGTGACATCTAGTTTCTGCCGAAGGACCTCAATGTCTTTGACGAGGTCCCACGTGGTATTATTCTCTAATTCCGCACTCCTACACAACTTCATGCAGGAGCGATGTCAAAGAATTGACGGGACTTACGGAATGGACTTTCCTGCACCCCGTTGATCAAATAGCACGATCTACAACATCGAGAGAGTACAATTCATATTAATAGGAAGATGCCCTCTATCAAATGACTGTTGCCTACCTTGTATTTCTCGGGGTTGAAGAACTGTCTGTCCTTCGGATCCGTTCCACCTCCTGGGCCCCCGTGGAGAAAGACAACTAGTCAACAGTTAATAACCTCGATGAGCTGCATAAAATATCATCAGAGCACATACCTGGATCGCCTTCCTTGTTTCCACTCACTTCATAACTTTCGATCGATTATCATCGATGTTACACTGATAGATGATCAGAAGACATACTAAAGCTGATGTTTCTCTGAATTCGCGCCCTGGAAAAAACCAGACTCGTAGGGCTTGATGGGAGGATACATTGCTGCAGGTTTCGACAAAGTGGCGGACGAAGATGTAGGCTGTGAGTACAACTTGAAGGTGGGAGACAGTGGCGCCGTGTTATCCTGAAACTCCTGGGAGTAGATAAGCTGAATGACGCCGGCTTTGCAGTAACACCTGATCGATGATCATGAGGCCATCTGAAATTACATGAGCTGGCAAGGAAAACCGCGCGAAATTCAAATGTGCTCACAAGTGAGAAGCGCTCTTGAACTTGGTTTGACGATTGGCAATGGGGCTCCCGAAAAAGCTCGCGATCACGAAACCAATTAATTATGTTACAACTCAGGTTTCACTACCATCAAAGATACCTAGGATACCTTAAGGCGGCTCTGTTCGACGCCTGCGATGTCGATTCACATCCCACTCCCTATCCCAACTCACCCAGAGGCTTCGTCACCATCAGCACTTTCGGAGAAGGAGCAGGCTTTATATGACGTTGTCTACGAACACTTCTCTGCCGCAGATTATACGCTTCCAGATGTCAACCAGGAAAAGGCCGCACTAGTAGTGGATGAAAAGTTTTGGCTCGTCAGTGCACCTTCTCATCATTCTTCAATCTCGTGTAATTGGTTGACCAGTGTTATCCTGACCGATGATAGTCATACGAATGTCTGCTGAGATACCTACGTGCCACAAAGTGGGATTCGAATGAGGCCATCAAGCGCTTGGAAGACACGCTAAAATGGAGACGCGATTTTGGGATTTACGATACCATCACACCTCAACATGTTGAACCAGAGGTATGAGAGCACGAATTCCTTCAATTTCACTCGGTTAATATAATCAATGAAGGCAACGACTGGCAAAGAGTTCCTCTTTGGTTATGATACTCGGGGTCGACCTGCCCTCTACATGTGCCCCTCAAAGCAAAATACCGAGGAGTCACCACGTCAAATCCATTATACTGTCTGGATGCTCGAACGCGGCATCGACCTTATGGGTCCAGGTGTTGAGTAGGTGCCCTTCCTACCCATCGCATTTTTGAAATTTATTCCGGCACTATCTAGGACCCTTGCGTTGATGATAGATTATGCGGATAAAGCCAAAAACCCCTCAATCGGCACGGCTCGCACAGTGCTCAACATTCTTCAGACACACTATCCAGAACGTCTCGGTCTTGCACTCATTGCACATCTTCCTTGGCTTTTACACGCATTCTATAAACTAATAACGCCGTTTATTGATCCCCTCACTCGGCTGAAGATGGTATTCAACCCCGTTATCACTAACAATGGTCTTTTTCGGACGGCTGTGGACGCTGAAGCCTGGAGTGCCAATAGTGAATCACGGGTATTTGAGCCGGACCAGCTTGTGCAGGAGGGTTGGAATGGCTCCCAGCCGTTTGTCTACTCCCATATCATTTACTGGGAAGCGTTAGTGAAGCTATGTGAGGAGAGGCGGTCTAGGATGGTTGCGGCGTGGCATTGTATTGGGGGGAAGGTCGGTACGAAGGAGTGGGAAGTTAAAATTGCCGTTAGGGACGAGGCGATGAATGTGCAGGTAGATGCGGAAAACGTGCTGGCGAAGAATGACCAGTTGCAGTCCTGAGGAGACAGTAAACACTATTGCCTGTTTGCTGTGCTTTACTGACGCGCTAATCTCAACTAAATCTATAAATTCCGATGGAGCGTGGAGCCGTGGATGAAAATGTACGCACGCGACAGGACAAGTCTGAAAGTAAGCTATCTTTATCGGCCTCGAGGCTTCTGGGAGTTGATACTGTTTGAGCGCTGAGCACGCACTCCTGATATGTGGCGACTTGCAGGTACATGGAAATTCCACAGGTTGAACCGTTCACTAGCGTTCTCAATTCGGGCTTTCGGCTCCGCTTGACGCTCCCGAAAAAGCTCGGGAGTATAATCACTTGACATGAAGCTATTATGACACGTCAGAATAGCTCTGTTCAACAACTGCGATGTCGATTTGCGTCCCACTCCCTATCCCGACGAACTCACACGATGCTGTGCCACCTTCAACGCTTCCCGAAAAGGAGCAAACTTTGTATGACTGTGTCCTCGAACACTTCTCTGCAGCAGACTATACGCTTCCGAGTATCAACCAGGAGGGTGCTGCACTAACAGTGGATGAGAAATTTTGGCTGGTCGGTGCATCTTATTGCAATCTTCATTGTTGCGCATCTGGTTGATCAAGGATCGATACGCAAACAGTCATATGAATGTCTTCTGAGATTTCTACGTGCTACCAACTGGAACGCGGATGCGGCCATCAAGCGCTTAGAAGATACGCTCAAATGGAGACGTGAATTTGGAATCTATGACAAAATCACTCCTGAATATGTTGAACCAGAGGTACGAAGGAGCGCGTTCTTCGGGGTTCACGTTTAATACGAATGATTTGAAGGCAAGAAATGGCAAGGCGTTTATCTTCGGCTGCGATACTCACGGTCGACCCGCCATCTGCATGAGCCCCTCGAAGCTAAGTGCCGAAGAGTCATTCCGTACAATACAGTTCATTATCTGGATGGTCGAACGCGCCGTTGACCTTATGGGGCCAGGTGTTGAGTAAATGCCCTTCTACACATCATGATAATAACTTATTTTGGCGTTTTCTAGGACGCTTGCGGCACTGGCAGATTATGCAGGCAACACCAGAAATCCATCATTTGGTATGGTCCGAACAATAGTGGACATCGTCCAAACACACTATCCAGAACGCCTCGGCCTTGTGCTCATCGCACATCTTCCCTGGCTTTTGAACACATTTTTTAAACTACTCATGGCATTCATGGATCCCTACACCCGGCAGAAGCTGGTCTTCAACCCTGTCATCAATGAGAATGGTGTTTTTCGGACGACTGCAGACGCTGAAGTATGGGAAGCTCAGGCTGACAACACATCTCGAGTATTCGAACCGGACCAGCTTATCCAGGATGGTTGGAACGGTACCCAGCCATTTGTCTATTCTCATGACGATTACTGGGAAGCGCTAGTGACGCTATGCGAGGAGAGGCGGTCTAGGATGGTTGCAGCGTGGCATTGCATGGGCGGGAAAGTTGGTATCAAGGAATGGGATGTAAAAATCGCTATCAAAGACGAGACTAAAAGGGATTAACGGAGAATGACGGTACCAGCCTCAACCCTAGGCAGTAGCATTTTCTCTACTGACACGCTAATGTGATTATACCCCGGAGTGGTGGATGAAGATGTACACGCGTGCCATGTCAATACATATACCCGGGGCTGTCGCTTACAGACTTCCCAGAGTAACAAGTTGGTGTGTGCTGGAGCGTATCTCGTCTAAGCTACACCAAGCCAGGAACTTCGTGCCTTGGATTTCTAATTAAACATTAATGGTACTCAGAGTAAAATGGGAATTTTCGGTAAAGCTCGGTAAAGCTCGGTAACTTCGGTTAGAAACTGACAATTCAGGCAGGAACAACACGCATAGGACATGCGGCACATCGGCATAGTTTCGGACTTCGAAAACTATGCCTGTCATTCGACCACCACGTCCTCGTCGTTCTGCACGCCTCAAGTGTTTGCAGCCCAAATCTATGGACTACAACCAAGGACCCGTCACCCGTGGCCGAGGAAAATCTCGGAGTACTCGAGGTAACGATCATGCTGCCCAGGCACCCAAGCTCGTCGTGCAGTGGCAGGCGGACCCCTCTCGCACCCAGAGGGTTATCGAGTACCTCCGCAACCATCCAGCAGACTGCCGAGTTCTGTTCTTTTCGGACGGGAAACAATCGCATACCGAGGGTGATCGCCCATCGGGCAAGGATAAACTCTCGGTTTGCTCTGTCGTCGCCCGCCATGTTTTCCAGGCTGATCCTAACTATGCGGCGCAATACGCTGAGGTGCCGGATAAGTTTCGCGACTCGACCAACAATCATATCATGAGGTACGATTTTTCGTATCGATTCACATGTGTACTAACATTCCCTCCAGTCTCAAAAAAAGGTTTCGTGAATGTCACGACAAATTAAACTCGACGGGTGCCGGCGTCATGCCAAACGACGTCGCTCAAAATCTGCACGGTATGTTTTTTATATTTATATTTAATCAGATTAAACTAATAAAAATTACAGCGCAAGTACTACATACGTTCCCGTGGTATGACGAGCTCCTCTCCATCATGGGGACAAACCCTGCTCTATCCGTCAAGACCGTCTCATCACGCCCTGGAACTGATCACGCTGCTAACTTCTTCGCTCTCACCCAAGGTGCCCAGACCTCTGGTCAGGCGCCCTTCGTCCCTGCGCCCTCTGGCCAGGCGTCCTTTGGCTCTGCGCCCTCTGGCCAGGCGCCCTTCAACTCTGCGCCCTCTGGCCAGGCGCCCTTTGGCTCTGCGCCATCTGGCCAAGCGCCCTTTGGCTCTGCGCCCTCTGGCCAGGCGCCCTTTGGCTCTGCGCCATCTGGCCAAGCGCCCTTTGGCTCTGCGCCCTCTGGCCAGGCGCCCTTTGGCTCTGCGCCATCTGGCCAAGCACCCTTTGGCTCTGCGCCCTCTGGCCAGGCGCCCTTTGGCTCTGCGCCCTCTGGCCAGGCGCCCTTTGGCTCTGCGCCCTCTGGCCAGGCACCCTTTGGCTCTGCGCCCTCTGGCCAGGCGCCCTTTGGCTCTGTGCCCTCTGGCCAGGCGCCCTTTGGCTCTGCGCCTTCTGGCCAGGCGCCCTTTGGCTCTGTGCCCTCTGGCCAGGCGCCCTTTGGCTCTGCGCCCTCTGCGCCCTCTGTTCAGGCGCCCTTTACTGTCCCCCCCTTCGCTTCCTCCTCCTCGCCATCCGGGTACCATCCCTCCCATCCCGGCATCATCGCTCGCTCTCACCCTCCCGCGCCTGCCCCCTCCGAGTCCGATACGTATTGTGACAACAATTACGTCGGCGACGGATACGACGAGGACATGGACATGGACCTTCGCTTCGACGACGTGCCACAGCCGCAGCCTCCCGTAACGTCAAATTACTGGGAAGAGGAGGGTGACGTCACCATCTTGAACAGCCCCCCCAAGCCCAGAGCCTCCAAACGTCGGGCACGTCAGTCTGCATCCCCCTCATCATCTCGTTCCCCCTCGCCCAAGTCATCATCATTCGTCCTTCCCCCGAAATCGCAGACCTCCCTCCACGATAGTCGCGCTGCCTTCGGCAAGCGCGTGTCGAGGACAAGCCGGACCAGCGCCAACTCGCCAAAACCCTCGTCCAGCGGCTCCTCGCTGTCGAAAACGACGATGTCGGCACCTGCCTCCACCTCCCAGACGTCACAACTCCCATCCTCCAAGGGGAAAGGGAGGCAGGTGAAACGGGTGCGGTCGGATCTTCAAGGCGACCTGAACCGGCTCAACGACGAGATCGGAAGCGTCCAGTCGGACCGGATCACTCGGGGCGAGCTCAAGAACGAGCGTTACATGGCGAAGTACAACCTCGCCCGTCAGGTAAATGAGCACAAGTTTTTGCGCGAGGAGCGTGTACACTGCGACAAGGAAGCTGTCGCCACTCATCAGCGCTCCCAGGAAGCGAAGGATACGGAGATTCGCCTCCGCGAAGCGGAGGCGAAGATGCATGCTGCGCTGGCACATGCGCATGCTGAGGAGGCAAGAGCGCTTCAGCTGAAGATTGAGTACCAACGTTTGATGAGCGGTTCTAACTCTTGAGGGTGTTGTTGTAGTCTTACTGTTGTCCTTTTGCATCACATATCTCATGCTGTCCTTCATACTACATATGTTGTTATGTTAACCATTAGTCCTGTTCATGTTATGTTGATAGTTCATGTACTACCAGTTTTCAATGGACCATGATGGTGTTTCCTCTTGGCTTTGAAGGTGTGATGCTTGACATATGTTTTCTTGGATAAGTAATGTTTGATAACCTGAGGAGATGTTAGATGGTACATATAACTAGTACACTTGCTAGGATAAGCACCACAATATTAAGCAAGTGAAGAGACTGACCATCACAGTGCTCTAGGTTTATTAGCTTTCTTTGCAACGCAAAGAAAGCTGATTTCAAACCTAAGCAGCTGTGATGGTCAGTCTCTTCACTTGCTTAATATTGTGGTGCTTATCCTAGCAAGTGTACTAGTTATATGTACCATCTAACATCTCCTCAGGTTATCAAACATTACTTATCCAAGAAAACATATGTCAAGCATCACACCTTCAGAGCCAAGAAAACATATTCAAGTGGAAATTTGTAACTACAACTGCTATCCCTGTCTACGTTGTGCCTTTGAGTGAGGGCTGTCAAACAAGAGATCCATCAACCTCTCACGACGAGCATGACCTGGAGTCCCTTCATATAACCTATCACCTACTTGGTCATTACCATCTGGTCCTTCAGCTGCCTCTTGAGACATAAAGTTTCTAGCCTCTTGACAAGACCACTTGACTGATCCCTGGTCCTCTGTCAGAGCATGTTCTTCTTCAAACCGTATGATCATGTTGTGTAGGATCAGACAACACTGAATCCAATGGACTGCTGTCCGTAAGTCATCTGCTGAATTGATATTCTGTCGGAGATCTCGAAGAGATTGAAACCGCCCTTTCAATGCAGCAAATGCATGCTCCACTCGTACACGGACCTAGATAAATCAAATTTA